CAACACAGCCAATACATTTTCAATTAAGACCATATTTTATATATTAAAGTGTCACGTACTTGAGATGTACAGTGTCCTATTTTTGCTGTTTAGAATATCCAAAGTGATGAAATGCTGTTCTGTAATGCTGTGGCCAACTGTGTTTGCTCCTCTTTAGCAGCTCCACTGTTGGCTGCTAACAGCGAGGCAGTTCCATGAGGGCGAAACAGCACAAGCTGTTTGTATTTCTGTGAAAAGTAGCTTTTTGTTATTGTGCCGAGTGCAGAAGTGAGCGAGAGCACCAACCCAGTTTTCAGCATAATGACACTTAGTGGATAATGTGGTGTTTGTATCAGTCACCACACACTTGATGTGACTGTGCAACAACTAGAGAAGACTGCGTGGTGATGGGAAAAAGCTATTTTAAGTAAACACCAGTAAAACAACTTGACGTTTTTGTATTAAGACACAGTCATTACATGACATTGCGAGAACGTAGGCCTACGTTGAGTTTTGAGGATATGAGTCTATATGTGTCTAAATAATATCGCAATAAAAAGTATAGTAAGTATATGGTGGTGAATTTCCTTGGGATATTGTGAATATACTCACAAGTGACTTAAACAAGCTGTCTAGCTCGCTATACAAGTGGGAGCGTGCTGCTGAATGCTCCCTGAGGTATAATATTTAACCAGTAGGACATGTTTGTTTTCTGAGTGTTTATCTCGCATATTACTGTCCTTATTGGTCTTAACATGATATGTTTATCTGCAGCATCCTGTTCCCTGTAATGTAAGAGTGTTACTATAAGCTACCACAGAAGGACAAAGCGCTGTTTATCAGAAACCTTATTGGACAAAATAATCACATAAAAATTCAGCCTGTGCTAATTGATGTACAGAGAGGAGACAGGAGGAGCTTCATTTAGGTGATGGGTCATGTTCACACGCACAAAAATATCATCCGCCAAATCTCTCTTGTGTTTTAATGGTACAGTAGTGTGTTTGATTTCCTGCCGATATGTGTGTGTCTGTGTGTCTGTTTGTGTGTGTGTGTGTGTGCGCGCGCGCTTGCATGAGAGCCGTCAGTGTTCCGGAGGATGAGATGATTATGTAGCAGACGGTTGGGTTCAGAGAGGGAGAGGTGGCGGATGCTGGAGCAAGGGATTGTGGGTACAGAGATAGTTTTTAATCCCTCAGAGTGTAACAGCTGGCTTACCCAACAGCCCCTCATCATCATCATCATCATCATATCTCTTTCTCTCTCTCTCTCAAACACACACACATATACACTCTAATACACAGGGTGTTTTACTTACCACCAGTTCCACTATAATGCCAGTGTGTTACAGTTCAGTTAGTAGTGCTGTAGCTGAGTATAATAGTCATTCAAGTCAGCGTCAGCAAATTTTGGCCCCCCAGCAGACACAGAGCAACATTAGCGTTCATGTGGCCACCTGATGAAATGTCCAATATTAACACTCATAGTTCTCTGTTAGCTCTGTTTCTTCTCTCTAGCAACTCCTGAGAAACATATCTGGCTCTTCATCTGCTACATGATAGATGACCTTCAGAACAGAATCAAAAATAAGATAAAAGATAAGATATTATGTATGTATATAATATATATAATTAACAGTAGCTACAGTTGATGGATAAGCGTCCTGCTCGCACCGGCGCAGGAAATGCTCACCAGCTAGTAGCTAACTTTGTCTTCCAGTCATTTAGTGCGAGATAGGTAGTGTGCAGTTGTTGTTCTTCCCTCAAACGTATGTACAGTATATACCTTTTCAATGTACTGTGTGTAAATATACTAAAATATACATATGCACATACAAGCATAGACTTTCCACAAACACATCTGGATCTCATAAAAAACCTTTTTTCCACACTGTACAACCTGTGAGACGTT